CATACTTGAGATAAATCCTACTTGTTTATGATTTATATTTCTTTTTATGCATTGTTGGCTTCAATTTGCTGGTATGTTGTTGAGGATTTTTACATTTATATTCATGACAGATACTGGGCTGTAGTTGTCTTTTCTTGTAATGTCCCTTCTGTTTTCATTTTCTAGAAGATATTATAGAGAATTGATATAATTTCTAATTTAAATGTTTGGTAAAATTCACCAGTCACCTCATCTGGGCCTGGTACTGTCTGTTTTGGAAAGTTATTAATTATTGACTGCTTTAATAGATATTGACCTTTTACATTATTTCTTTTGTGAGTTTTGGTAGATTGTGTCTTTCAAGAATGGTTTTGCAGTATCCCGATAATTATGAGAAGTTGTGTTTTTATTTTCAATCAGTTAAAAATATTTTAAAATTTCTCTTAGGATTTCTTCTTTTACCCATGTTTTATTTAGCAGTATGTAATTTAATTTCCAACATTTGAGGATTTTCCAACCATTTTTCTGTTTTTGATTTCTAATTTAATTCCACTGTGGTCTGAGAGCAGATTTTTTTTTTTTGTATGCTTTTTTTTTTTTATTCTTTTAAATTTGGTAAGGTTTGTTTTTTGGCTCAGATTGTGGTCTGTCTTATTAAGTGTCCTATGTGAGCTTAAGAAGTATGTGTATTCTGCTGTCATTGGATGAAGTAGTTGCTAGATATAGTAATCAATTTTATTCAGTTGACTGATGGTGCTGTTGACTTCAACTATGTCTTTACTGATTTTCTGCCTTCTGGATCTGTCCATTTCTGATAGAGGAGTGTTGAAGTCTCTAACCATAACAGTGGATTCATCTATTTCTCCTCGCAGTTCTGTTTTTGCCTCACATATTTTGATGCTCTGCTGTTAGGTGCATGCACATTAAAGATTTAATATCTTCTTTGAGAATTGACCCCTTTGCTAGCCCTGATAATTTTCCTTGCTCTGAAGTCTGCTCTGTCCATATTAATATAGCTACTCCTGCCTTCTTTTTATTAGTGTTAGCACAGTATATCTTTCTCCGTGCCTTTAATCTATATTTGTTTTATATTTAAAGTATGTTTCTTATAGATTAAATATAATTGGGTCCTGTTTTTTGATCCACTCTGACAGTCTCTTTTAACTGGCATACAGTGGGCCTTTGAACAACACAGGTTTGAACTGCGTGGGTCCACTTATATGTGGATTTTTTTTTTTTTTTACACTACTATAAATGTATTTTCCTTATTATTTTCTTAGTAGCATTTTCTTCTCTCTAGCTTTGTTGAAAGAATATAGTATACAGTACATATTACACACAAAGTATGTTTCATCAACTGTTTATATTATCTGTAAGACTTCCAGTCAGCAGAAGGCTATTAGTAGTTAATGGGAGTAGTTTTGAGGGAGCCAAAAGTTATATTTGGATTTTCAACAGTGCAGGGGGTCAACACCCCTAACTGCTGTGTTGTTCAAGGGTCAACTGTATTTAGACCATCGACGTTCAAAGTGATTATTGATATAGTTGAATTCATAACTACCATTTTTGCTCTTGTTTTCCATTTGATGCCCTTGTTCTTCGTTCCTATTTTTATTTTCCGCTTTTTTTCTGCCTTTTGTGTTTTCAGTTGAGTATTTCATACAATTCCATTTTCTCTCCTTTTTTGAGCATATTAGTTACTTTTCTTTTTTTACTGATGTTTGTGGTTGCCCCAGAGTTTGCAGTATAATTTACCACAAATCCAAATCCACTTTCAAATAATATTCTAATGCTTCATAGGCAATGCAAGTACATTATAATAACAAAATAATCATAATTTCTCCCTCCAACTCCTTGTATCAGTGCTGTCATTCATTTTGCTTACACATAAGCCTGCATATTTATATACATATAAGCATACGTAATTGGATATATTGTTGCTATTGTTTTGAGAAACTTATTTGTGAGATCAATGAAGAAGAAGGAGGATAAAAGTTTTTATTCCTTCTCCGATAGTCTTTCTTTCTTTATGTAGATCTGAGTTTCTGACTGATAGTTTTCCTTCTCCCTGAAGAGCTGCTTTTAACATTTTTTTGCAAGACAAGTCTACTGTCAGTGAATCCCCTCAATTTTTATTTGTCTAAGGGAAGTCTTTATTTCTCCCTCCCTTTTGAAGAATAATTTCATAGGGTACAGAATTCTATGTTGGTGGGGGGTTTTCTCAATATTTTAAATATTTCGCTCCATCATCTTCTTGTTTGCCTGGTTTCTGGGGATGAGTCAGATGCAGTTCTTATCTTTGCTCCTCTGTAGGTCAGGTGTAATTTCCTTCTGGCTTCTTTCAAGATTATTTTGCTTTATCTTTGATTTTCTGAAGTTTGTATGTGACAGGCTCAGGTGAAGATTGTTATTGTGTTTTGTTTTTGTCCTGCTTGGTATTCTCCGAGCTTCCTGGATCTGTGGTTTGGTGTCTGACATTAATTTGTGGATATTCTCAGTCATTTTTGTTTCAAATATTTCTTCTGTTTATCTTTCTTTGTCTTCTTCATCTGGTGTTTCCATTATACACATTATACCTTATATAGCCCCACAGTTCTTAGATAGTCTGTTTCTTTTCTTTAGTCTTTTTTTCTCTTTGCTTCTGTTTTGGAAGTTTCTATTGACCTATCCTCAAACTCAGAGATTATTTCCTCACCAGTGTCATTCTACCAATGGGACCAGCCATGGCATTCTTGTTTTCTGTTACAATGTTTTGTTTTGTTTTTTTTAAAGATTTTATTTATTTATTTGACAGAGAGAGAGACACAGTGAGAGAGGGAACACAAGCGGGGGGAGTGGGAGAAGGAGAAGCAGGCTCTCTGTAGAGCAGGGAGCCCGATGTGGGGCTCGATCCCAGGACCCTGGGATCATGACCTGAGCCGAAGGCAGACGCTTAATGACTGAGCCACCCAGGTGCCCCTGTTACAATGTTTTTGATCTCTAGAATTTCCTTTTGATTCTTTCTTAGAATTTCCCTCTCTCTGCTTACATTGCCCATTTGTTCTTACATGCTATTTACTTTATTGATGAGAGCCCTTAGTATATTAATCACAGCTGTTTTATTATTTTTTATTTTTTTAAATATTTATTTGACAGAGAGAGACACAGTGAGAGAGGGAACACAAGCAGGGGAAGTGGGAGAGGGAGAAGTAGGCTCCCCGCAGAGCAGGGAGCCCAATGCGGGGCTCGATCCCAGGACCCTGGGATCATGACCCGAGCCGAAGGTAGACGCTTAACCGACTGAGCCACCCAGGTGCCCCCACAGCTGTTTTAAATTCCCGGTCTGAAGGGGGCCTGGGTGGCTCAGTCAGTTGAGCATCTGACTCTTGGTTTCAGCTCAGGTCATGATCTCAGGATTGTAAGATGGAGCCCCGCATCAGGCTCTGCACTCAGTGCAGAGTCTGTCTGTCCTTCTCCCTCCCACTCCACCCCTCTGCTCACTCTCTTTCTCCTTCTAAAATAAATAAATAAAATCTTTAAAAATAAATAAAAATAAAAAATAAATTCCCGGTCTGATACTTCCAACATTCCTGCCCTGCTGTGTGTTTGCCTTTTAGAATGCCTTTTAACTTTTTCTTGATAGCTGGACATGACGTGCTGAGTAAAAGGAACTGCAGTAAATAGGCCTTTAGTAATGTGGTGGTGAGGGTGTGGGGCAGGGGAAACATTCTCTGGTCCTATGATTAGATCTCAGTCTTGCCATGAACCTGTGCCTCTGAACTATGACCTTTATAAGTGTTACTCAAGGGGCTTTTTCCTCCCCCCTTAGGTGGGACAGGATGTCTGGAGTGGGCTGGATTTGGGTATTTTTCTTCTTCCACATGGGAAGCTAAACAGGCTAGAGTAGGGTATTTTCCTTCCCCCAGGTGAGGTGGGATCTGATAAACCTACAATAGTTTAGGCTGTGGCAAAATAGTTTCTCCTAAAAGCAGGCCTAGTTAAGAACAGAGTATTCTGGTTTATTTCAAAATGGTTCCTTCTCCCCTGCCCCTGGCAGAAGCATAAGGGAATTTTTTCCCCAGAGTTCACTGTGAGGACCTGATCAAACTTCTAGAAGCAAAACTGACAAAGGTGTGGGAGGCCCCTACGACTGGGTCTGCCCAGAGTTTAGACTCAGCCTCATCCACCCTGAGACTCCAGCACTTTGCCAATTTCAGTTCCGGTTTCCTTGCCCTGGTCCTGGTTCCCACAGAGGTTGCTGCTGGGGAGTTTCTGCCCGGTGAGTTGTGGTTCACAGTAGCTGCCTGTCTGTCTTGTTCATTTGGGGGCAGCAGTGTGCCCTATAACCTTACTCCACTAGTAGACCTGAGAAGAGTTGTTGATTTTTCAGTTTGTTCAGCTCTGCGCCTGTTAGGACCAAGCAACATTGTCTCAGCGCCTTACGTGTTAGACTGGAAACCAGAACAGTTGATGTTTTCGCTTTTGACGTCCTACACTGACAACTAAATGATGTGGGCAAAAAAAGACTCTCAAGCATGGCTTTTGTTCCTTTGAAATTGGATTTTAGATTTGAATGGAGTCTTGGAGGTCACCTCGTTCAATGTCCTCATGTTCAGATGAGCATCTCAGTAGGCTGTACTGTGGGCACTTCTCACTTGGTAATATTCCCACATTTTAGCAAAGTAGTAAAGCACACTGTGTATGTGTAACCCATTTGTACTCAGGATCCAGATGAACTTTCTCCAAATAAACGGGTTAAATTCTCTTATGGTCTGTGTTCTGTTCCCTAGGAGGAAATAAAATGTGATATTTATCCATAAACAGTGGTTATGTCTGTATGGTGTTCTGAAGGATGCTGTTTTAGTTCTGTGTGATGAGATGATGGGTGATTTTTATTTTTCTCTTTTTGTCTTTCTGCATTTTCCAAATTCTATCAAATGAACATGTATTACTTTTGCAATCAGGAAAAAAAAAAAAACAACCCACAAGGTAACGTTTTAGGTCACGAACGTTGGAAGTCTCCTCTCCGTGTCTCCTTACAGTCTGCAAGATGAACGTTCACCGGCGCTGTGAGACCAACGTGGCCCCCAACTGTGGGGTGGACGCCAGAGGAATTGCCAAAGTCCTGGCTGACCTAGGTGTTACTCCAGACAAAATCACCAACAGCGGCCAGAGGAGGAAAAAGGTAACTGGCTATTTGGAGGTGTTTCTGGAGCTTTTTGGAGGCCACCACCTCTCATCTCATCTTGAGAGCCCCCGCCCCCCGCCCCTGACCCCGGAGTAAGGTTCTAAGATTCCTGGGTTTGAGACACAGCTAAAGACATGTGCTAAAAAGGGAAGAAAAAAAAAGTGGTCGGGCAGGTGACATTAAAGTCTCCTTCAGTTCCAGAAGTGGGGGAAAAATGAAGCAAGTCTCAAGTGTTCTGTTCCTCAGGGAAACCTAATCTCTGAGATGAGGACTTTGGAATTCCCTCGAGAAAAAGCACACTTCTAGACAAGGAAGTAGGCTTATCTGCATCCAGAACTGGCATGAAAGCAATGTCAGTGTTTGAACTTTGTCCCTGGTGTCACTATAATGAGGATACATGCATGAAGCGCTGGGACCACATTCTTCTCTAGGGAGCAGGCCAAGGAGATTTGTGGTAGTACCACCCAAGGAATATTGTTAATGCCCCACCACGTGAAACATCTGGGCCTTTCTTTGGAGACCAAAGCCCCCTGGCTCTATCCGTGTGACGTTCTGAATGTCAGTAGGAAGAGATCCATTTGCTAAGATGCTATTTTGGTAGTAAGTCAGGGCCCACAGATGTACATAGAGCTCAAGGCATCCATAGCATTTTGTTTGAAGGTTCTTCTTGGCCTTGGCTTCCAGCCTAGAAAATGTAAAAGTCTTCAAAAGAGTAAGTTATGAGAAAATCAGAACCATTTTAACTGGGCAAGAAATCCTGTTGGGGGTGGGGGGTGGACAGTGATCCTCATCACCTAGTATCGGGCATTCTCAAGCACTTACCAGAAAAGCAAGTCTGTCTCAGGGTGCTCTACAATTTTGACTCCTAAATGTTCTCCCTAAATTCTGCCCTGAAATACCTTCTGAAGGGCTGTGTTTCCCTTCTCCTTTTAGAAACTGCCCGCGCCTTTTCCCTGGTGCATCTCAGAAGAGCTCTTTCCCTCGAATGGGGAGGTTTGGATTGTTTCCATCTTCTTTTTTTTTTTTTTTAATATTTTATTTATTTATTTGAAAGAGAGAGACAGAACACAACCAGGGGGAGAGGGAGAAACAGGCTTCCCACCAGCAGAGAGCCCGACATGGGGCTCGATCCCAGGACCCTGGGATCATGGCCTGAGCCGAAGGCAGACACTTAACCATCTGAGCCACCCAGGCGCCCCTGTTTCCATCTTCTTAAACCCCTCCCTCTCCACCTTCCCAATAAGCAAAACTGTTTTGCAATGGTTGGGAAAAAAGAATTCTCTTCTCCCTGGTTGGTTAGCTATGAGATTTTGTGCCTCTGGATGGGGGTGGCTCTTGGCTCTGTAAATCCCACTAGTGGAAACAGGACTTCAGTTATTGACCCAAGACATTGCAATTGCAAGCAGAATGTCAGCACCCAAGAATGCTAGGCTCCCACCAAAGAGGTGGGTTAAGCAAACACCCTGTCATGACAATGTTGGACACACACATTTATGAGCTCTAGGGAGAGCCCTTCGTGGGAGATGTGGCTTTTTGCCTTGCTAGAAGTAAATTGAGACAGAATCGTTAGTCATTGTCATGAAACATTTAAGAGAAAATGCAATACACACCTGCCCTCTCCCCCCTATTTACACGAGCTGTAACACCAATAACCAGGCATCGTCTGCCTGTCTTAGATTTTGGGGAACCTCGTGGTAAGAAGCCAACATGGAGAAATTTGGGAAGAGAGAGAGTTAAAGACTAGAGGATTCTGATGTTTTTATTGCTGGATTGCTTCTGGTGCAAAAGCTGGAAAAAGCCACGTGACCAAGTAGTAGCTCAACTTCGTGTGAGAGGAAGGGAGAGAAGTACCCTTGGTCAGAAGCTAAAAGGGCTTCTTTGCAAGAGTGTTAGGCTTGCTGGAGTGCTGCTTGTCTTCACGTTGCCCCTTGCAGGTGGTCCATTGTCCAGAGACAACATGTGCGCACAGCTGGTAGATCAAGAGTAAAATAGAGCAGAACTCTGCATGACCGCTTAGTCCAAACCTCTGACTTTAACGGGAACTTGACACGAGTGTGCCAGCATCTCTGCCAGCAAATAGACTTCATGGCGGAGGGAGGGGTGGGGGTGTTGTGTGCTCTATGGAAATTTGCCAACCAATATCAATACATCTAAAAATATTTATTGAGCTTCTACTAAAGGTATCATTTTGTGCAAGGCGCCAGGAGCAACACAAATACTGGCTAGAGTCTTACCTTCCAAGAGCCTGTAGTCTACCTGAGTAGAGAGCCCCACACAGTATCCACATGCAGAGGCCATGAACTAAATACAGCTGAATAAGACGATGGATAAATGCCCAACAGGTGCTAGAGACAAACATCGAGTTGCTTTGGGTGCGGTAACTTGCGTTGCTTGCATAGGCGAGGGAGGTCTCGATGGAAGTGGGACAGTTGTGCGTGGGTAGAACGAAAACTGAACAAATTGCAGTCTCTCTCTTTAAGTTTTTATTTTGATTCCAATTAACATATAGTGTAATATTAGATCCTGGTGTACAGTGGAGTGACTCAGCACTTGCATACACGGCCCGGTGCAGTCACTTGTCTTCCCTTTAACTGTCAAATAAAACTGAGCCTGCTTTCAGAATGTCCATTCAGAGAGTGCTGCTGGGCAACAGGGACTCCTACAGCCCTCGCTCCATAAGGACAGCGCCTCCATGCTCCTGACCTTGGGGCAGCCTCCACCCTCCCTTCTCACGCCTCCCCTCTTTCTCGCCCTCTCTCTAGCTCCTTGCCGGCGCCGAGTCCCCACAGCCCACTTCTGGAAGCTCACCATCGGAGGAAGATCGATCCAAGTCAGCACCCACCTCCCCCTGTGACCAGGGTGAGGCCCTCGGATTTGCTTTGTTACCTCTGAGCAATGTCATCGGAAGGACTGAGGAGGTGGAGGCCTCTCCACCCTTGTTCCACCCTTGTTAGCTGGAACAGGGGCGGCCCTGGAAGGGCTTCAGACACCCTCTCCCTACTGACTCCTTAGCTGCTCTTTCTCTCTGCAAGGCTGTCTTGAGGGATAGGCACTTAAAAAGCTGTATCTGCCTTAAATCCTGTCCAGGCCAGGGTAAGAGAGAAAGAGCAGGTGATGGTGTAGCTCTTTCTTTACCCTCGCCTCTTTCCTGGGTCCCAAATGTAGGAGAGTGCCCCGGGGCCTATTCCCAGACCTGTCCTCCCATCCACCATGCCCCTCAGCTGAGTGCCACTTCCTTCCATCCTGACTCTGATCATCACCCCCAAAACCTGAGAGCAGGGCAAGAGTTGCGGGAGGGGGACCACCTCCTGCTGGTGGCCTGTGGATGGGCAGGGACAGGAGCATGGAGCTAGAGAACAGACCAGGAGAAGGGAGAAAGCCAGCTCCAGGCCTGACTGCTTCCTAAAGCTCAGGTTTCCTTTTTCCGCATAAGAATATGCTTATATTCAGGGTTTTAGAGGGGCGGGGGAGGGGGATGGGTTAGCCTGGTGATGGGTATTAAGGAGGGCTCCTACTGCATGGAGCACTGGGTGTTATACGAAAACAATGGATCGTGGATCACGACATCAAAAACTAATGATGTATTGTATGGTGACTAACATAACAATAAAATTAAAAAAAAAAAAATGCTTAACATAGTTGAAGTTTCCGAATTCCGCGGGCATCCCAGAATGCTGAGGGGAGACTAAGACATTTAAAACCTTCCCTTCCGGTGACCAGACATCCCTGCAAAGGGATGTACGCTTCTGCAGAGTGAGAATAATCATCATTGCGTGACAAGCGTGCCTTGATTTTCTGTAGCCTCTTTGTGTTCATTATCTTAATCTTAGGCTCACACCAACTCTGTGGTTCTCCATCCCTGTCCCCATGTCACAGGCTGGGAAGTGGGAGATCAGGGAGTCGAAAAGTTCTGTCCCAACAGTCTGGAACGAAATCGGCAGTAAGGGCGAGACCATACCCCTCCTGGTTTCGGGACCCCGGTCTCAGAGGGTCATCACTGTGACCCACTTCGGCTTACCCAGGAGTAAATAAAACGGCTGCAGGGTGGTGTGTGCCTCTCCTGAGGCCACAGAGTAATTGGTCTGAGTCGCTGTTCTTGCTGCTCTGATTAGCTTTCTGCATCTTTACACTCTGCTTCATTCCAAAAAAGATTTGACCCATTCATGAGTAATCCAGTGGTACGCAGGGGCCTCCAAACTAGTAGGTATTACCCTGCAACCTGTGTGGGTGTTTCCATGTGTCCCTTTTGAGTGCTGAGACCTCCTTTGAGAACTTCAGGGAGACAATGTTATACAGTAGATGCCCCCAGTAAGAGTGAAGTGGAGCGTGGTTTCTAGGCCTGGCTGCCACCTGGCGGGATGTCGTGCCTGTGTTTGTCTCTGGTCAGTACAACGGTGTGGGCACGTTAGATGCAAAGACCCTCTTAGCAAGACACGGTATTGCCACAGGAGAGAGAGAACACACAGTTTCTCTTCCTTCCACTGTGAGAAGACACAGGATGACATTTTCTTCAAGCTTTGGAAAACCTAAACACCCAAGTTCTGTTTTCCAAAATCCGTTTAGTAGTTTGCCTTGAAAACTGAGAATTTTAGCTGTTTGCTGAGACTAGAGGTATACTGAGTAAGGAAAAAGTGCTAGGGAATGGCTGAATTGGCAAGGGGAGAGCCTGAGACTCAGGAGCCATCCTCAACCCTCCCTCCCCTCACCCCAGCAGATCTAAGAAAGATCCAGATTCCTTGAGCAAGCTCTTATGGGCCTCCATCCTTCTGAAAAGAGCTGAAGATTTCTTTATGTCAAGCAGCACCTGGTCATCATGCCTCATTCTGATTCCCAAGGGTTGATAGTCTGTGTCCCCCTTCCATCAGCCCAGTTTGTGATGAGCATCTCTTAAAATCAGATTATGCTTGTGGTGCCCAGTTCTGCATTGAGAGGTGTGTGTGTCTTGGTGGATGAATAGCTAACAATAAAGCTTGCTCAAACAGGAAAGGTCAAAGGGCCATCCAGTGTTATCACCGCCGGGTAGTTTAGGTCACCTGCTCTGCAGGGGCACAAGACTGCCCCGTGGTTGTGAAACTGTACTGAGGAATCCCTGCCCCATCTGAGATAAATTTGCAACATGTCACTCTCGGACAGCAGTTCTTTAGTTAATGAGAAACCCGTGGCTCATTTTGTTGAATAACCTTGTGGGAGATGGATATTAGAATAAATGCAACAATAAGGCCAAGTAGAGTCCTTCAGAGGTTCAAGGCTTCCCGGTCCTAGCTTCTGATACAGTTATATCACAGGTGATAACTGTGATGACACTTCTCCATTTAACCACGCTTCTAATTTTCAAAGGGAACTTGAAGGGAGCCTGTTGTCTTTGAGACTCCACAGGGTTACAGAGAAAGCCAGGATTCCTGCACTACACCTAGAATAACAGAACAGGCCACAGGCCAGAGGGGGCTTTCAGAGAGAGATTGGGCCGGGTTTCCGTGTAATCTGGAAGTGTCGGCCCTGGGGAGCTGTGTCCTCCTCCTCTTCGCATCCCTAGGCCCTGCTGTACATTAGGTGCCAGTGAAAGCTTGGAGAGCAAAGGGAGGAACCCATGGAGGGATGCCAGGCTGGATCTGCTGCTATGAAGAATCCGAAGGCGGGCTGAGACCTCACGGTGCGGTTCGGGGGTGGGGGGTGGGGTCTGAGTGCTGAGTCCCGATGCGAAGGGATCCTGAGGTATGCACTAATGTGAGCTCTTGTCACCCTTGGCCCTAGAAATAAAAGAACTTGAAAACAACATCCGGAAGGCCTTGTCTTTTGACACCCGCGGGGAGGAGCACCGCGTAGCAGGCGGCGACGGCCAGCAGGCGAGCCCCGGGGAGAACGGCGAAGTGCGGCAGGGCCAGGCCAAGCGCCTGGGTCTGGATGAGTTCACCTTCATCAAGGTGCTGGGCAAAGGCAGCTTTGGCAAGGTCTGTGGCGTGCATGGGTACAACTGCTGACTTTCTCTGCCCTGTGGCGTTGCCTCATCTGTCCGATCTGAGTAAGATCAGGCTGTGAACATCTCAGCCTGGTCTTGTTGCGTCTTCCTTCCTTGTTCCGTGGAAATGGCGTGCGGCCAAGCAGGTGGGAGCCCGGGATCTGCTGCTCATTCACTGTGGGACTTCCAGCTAGTCACTTAACTTCTTTGGGACTCAGTTTTTCTCCTTTGTCAAATGGGGACACAGGCATCAAGTGAGGTCGTGGGTAAAAAAAAAAAAAAAAAAGGTACTTGGGAACGTTTAAATTGTTTTATGTGTGCTTGGCATCCCCATTCTCGGCGATACTAGCTAACACTGCATTTCTTCCCTCCTTCAGAGATCCATCTGAAGTTCTGGCTGTAATTCATGACAGAGACTTTGAAAATGAACTCTGGTGGGGCACCTGGGTGGCTCAGTTGTTAGGCGTCTGCCTCCGGCTCAGGTCATGATCCCAGGGTCCTGGGATGGAGTCCCGCATTGGGCTCCCTGCTCGGCGGGAAGCCTGCTTCTCCCTCTCTCACTAGCCCTGCTTGTGTTCCTGCTCTCGCTGTGTCTCTCTCTGTCAAATAAATAAAAAATCTTAAAAAAAAAAAAAAAAAAAGAACTCTGGAATCTCTGCCCTCCGGGAACTTCGGGCTCTGAGCGAATCTGAGCATGTATTATTTGGAAAGTTAAATGCTATTTAACTGACTTTTCTGGCACTTACTAAGGGCTGTTTATCCTGCACATGTGGCAAGAGAATGAGAATAATCACCTCCTGGCTTGGATCTTGCCCTTGGTGCCGTTCTTCCTGTCCTGCCCTACACTGAGATAAGCACAGCCTTGCGGGGTGTATGTGCCCCGTGAAGCTTTCGGGGTGATCGGACTCCATTCTAGCGGCACAGTGACTTGGGGAAATAATCCCTGTTCATTTTAGAAAGAAGATGGAAGGGCAGAGGGCCCAGGATGCTGGCTAACCCTTCAGCTGAGATCCCTGATCATTCCCTTGCGCTCCGCAAAGATGGGAGTCCCTAGGAGGTGCCTTTCCACACCCTGCTCCTGGGCCCAGGCCCTGGGCCTGGCGGCTCCCAAGTCACGTGCCCTCACGTGTCCTGGGCTCTTGAAAGCAGCAGCCTGCAGATCAGCCACTTGCTGAGCCACAGAGCTGCTCTGCTGTTCCCTGAAGGGAATGGCTCTGGAAACCTCCAGGGCGTGGGCCTGCCTCCCAGCCCCTCACCTGCCCCATCTCATCCTGAGATCGCTGTAGGAGGAAGGTAACCCAAGGAGGAGCACACTTAAATGTAGAGGCTGAAGCAATCACATTCTTCAGAGACTGAGTAAATAAGAAGCTGGCCCCAGTGCCCTGGTCCAGGCGTAACTCGGGGATGTGAGCAGGTTTAATTTTGAACAAGAGTCAAGGGAAACGAGCAGGCTCAGAGTTTCCAGGTCTACTTACCGTATAGGCAGGATGGGAACTTGGATGACTCTGGAGCATTCAGGTTGTTTTTTAGGAAAAATCGCAGCCAGCATTTGAGCTACTTTTAAAGATTTTGCATTACTCGTCGGCGATGAAAGTTCCTCAGGTAGCACCCTGAATTCCTTTTTGAAGCTTCTGAGTTACCAATCTTGAGGCCTGGCAGCTCACCCTGGAATACTGGGCTTAGGAGATGGTTGTTTAAAAAAAGAAGGACTTGTCACATTGCGGAGAAATGAGTGCAAAAATATCAAACGATGGGAAAACTTGAAGCTCATAGAACTGTGAATTTGCTCTCTGGAGAAGGAATCACATTCCCAGCGTTAATGCTATAGAAGAACCATGAAGACAAACATGACAGATTTAGCTATGTAAGGACAAGTGATCCTGTTTGCTATAGAACAGAAAATCATAAAACAGGCTTAGACAAACCTCTGCAGAAAGCAGAGTGTTAGTATCGTTATATACTAACTCATACAGATTCATAAGAAAATAATATAAGACAGTAGATACAACTAGACAGAGTTATCTTGAATATGAAACTGACAACTCACACAAATACAATTTAAGGAAAAATTTTTTAAAAAGTTCCATTGCAAGTTAAAACAGCCTTGAGGTTATATTTCACACCTGTTATATGAGCAAAAACACTTTTTAAGTGAAAACACCCAATGTGGGTAACACTGCCATGAAACTAGAGCATCTCTACATTCCTAGCAGCAGATTATTTTGTACATCCTTTTTGAAACTCAAGAAATGTGCAAAATATCTAACCTTATACTCTATTTCTAAGACTTTCTAGCTTAAGGATATGCCCCCCCCAAAAGAAACAAAATGACATGTACAAAAATACTCGATCCAATTTATTTCTGTGATATTTAATAATTAGGTTTCACTTAAGTGTGTAATACGAGGTAAATGGTTAAATAAATTGTAATATGTTTACTTCAATTGAGTATAAGCAACCCTGATAATGATGGTGACAATGTAGATGATAAATCCTTATTAATGTCAGTTAAAAATTATTACTTGTGCAATACTGTAATTGCAAGTATGACAAATGTATATGTACGTATGAATAATTCTTTCACACATGTGTGTTTGAACTTCTTTTTTCTTTGCTTAGGTCCTGTGCTAGAGATGAAACATAAATAAATGAATTATAGTAGCTATATTAGGATGGGTAGTTTTTCTAAACATTTTTTAATGTTGTTACAGTATTTAAAATGAAAGACAAAAGAAGTTAGCTTTTAAAGCCTTTGGTATTGACTTGTGTTTTTTCGTTTGATTCCATGTGTGTATAGATTGACGGGAGTGGTTTGGGTTCATTGCAGGTCATGTTGGCAGAGCTGAAAGGCAAAGATGAAGTATATGCTGTGAAGGTCTTGAAGAAGGATGTCATCCTCCAGGATGACGATGTGGACTGCACGATGACGGAGAAGAGGATTTTGGCGCTGGCGCGGAAACACCCGTACCTAACCCAGCTCTATTGCTGCTTTCAGACCAAGGTATGGCTAAGAAGAAAATGGTGGGCCGCCATCTTGGGGTAGTGCTGTATGATGGGATGGCATCTTGATGTCAGATAAAAAAAAAAAAAAAAAAAAAAGTCAATTCTAGACCCTCTACGTTCTTTTCTCATAGGCCTTGTAAAGTGGAATGGATTTTACCCTTGAAAAGATCAGGGTATATTTGAACAGCATCCTCTTTTTTTAAGGGCATGGAATTTTCCATTCAAGGTTGTGCTTGTGGAGGGATGAGAGGGCAGTAGAACTCTTTGCAGAGGTAGCTGGACAAAGCCAAATGGCTAAACCCAGTATTTGCTCCTTGGAAAAACCAACAGGCGTGGTTAGTCCTTGCTCCTAACTTTCTATCACTATGCAAATCACTTAAGTTCCCTGTTGCCTTCGGGTCAGATAAAAAGGAGTGAAGCCCGCCCTAACCACTTCTGACTTGTATAATGTCAAAGGAGGCAAAGGCTGTGGGCAAGTGCTTACAATGCCCTGGTGAAATACAAATATAAGGTGGCGTTTTAAATTTACCGTGTAGGAGCCTGGGAACCAGAAGGTGGCAGTAAAGAAACGAAAATAATCTGTAACAGCATTATGGAGTCTGACCTATGAGTATCATAACTGATTTTTTTAACTTATTCTTAGTTAAGAAGAGAAATGCCAACATTCTTCATGAAGCTCGTATTTTATTACCCCTTTTTGGAGAAAAAAGAAAGTTAAAGTCCTTGAGGATGCCCTATGGGTCTGTAGCCCCTAGCTTCTTGAGAAGGCACAGGCGACTTCACCCGAAACTCCTCCCTGTGCCCATTGGGAGCCCAGACAGTTAAGGGCGCCATCTTGGAGAGACGATCCCTTGCCCCTTGGCATCCTCCCACCTCTACGTCACTGTGATGACATTCTTCCACTTTGAATTCAATAATTACTCATTTGGTCATTTGGCAAAATTTTATTTTATTATATTTGATTGAATTCTTCCAGTGTGCCAGGTGTGGAGATATAGTGGTAAGCAAGGCCCAGTCTCTGACCTCAGGGACTTCACAGTCTCTTTGGTATACTGTTTCTCAAAGGGTATTTCTCTGAACTTTCATCACTTGAGAAACTCTAAGCATAAAGGACTCTGTAGCCCACGGTTTGGGAAATTGCCATCTGACCTCTTTTAGACTGTCTCGCGACATACACTTGCTTATTGAAGTCCCTGAGGAGAACTGCAATGGGACAAAAAATCACCTTTATTTAATATAGTATTTTCTAATTATTTGTTCTCAAGCTCCATCCATACCACTACCTACTCCACACTGAGAAATGGTGATCTACTGGCATTTTTCCTATCCCTCCAATCTTGGAGAATCTTAGGAGAATAAGAAATACCTTCTGAAAATCTGGAAATCCCTTTTCCAAACAAGTACAGGACCCATTGGCAATCCTTGTTTTGGACATGTTTTATGGAATGCCTAGTATTTGTGGGTCTATGCATGTATGTGCACATACACAGAGCCCAACATGAGAAAAGAGAATCATATGGTCAGTGTTCTTTTCTCTACTTTTTACTCCATTGAGAAAATCAGATTTCAGAGGAGTAGAAGTCTTTTGCCCATAAGATACTCTGTTTTGGCCAAACGGACTTGGCATCTGGTCTCTGGAACTCCCAGTCCACTGAGCCTTGCCCTGATACCACACTGATATGCTCTGTTGCCTGATCCAGAACAGTGTCCCCTCTGTTGGGGGAACTTTCCCCCTCTTTCCCTACCCCTCACGGGTAGCCATCTCTTCCACTGTCTGTGGTGGTTTCCTGGGTAGGGATCCACACCGGTGTTTTTTTCTTTGGACACATTGCCAAGAGGCCCAATGTCCTTGGGGAGCCACAGTGGAGGGTCAGCTTTCCTACACCTCTTGGTGAACGAGTGAGAGAATGAATATCTTCCATGTCAGCAGTGTTCTCCTCTATATTGTAGAACATCAAGGCTAAGCTTCCTCATTGTATGGCAGCTTTTGGAGCACAAAATGGTGTTGAGTAACACCATGGATTTCCTTTATGACAGAACAATAACCAAAGTGACATGGAGATTAGGATCTGGATAGCTGAAGAGTGGGGTTGGGGAGAGAAGGGACTTTAGTAGTTCAGAGATTTACCTTTTTCTCAGGCCGGTATCAGATAGCCACAGTTACAGGAGTGACTTTGCCCCACCTCTGCCATACCACCATTGTTTGGGAGAACAGTAGCACACCCCACTTTACACAACAGGTGTATGTTCATCTAACATGTCAAAAGGGAATCCTATTTCAACCTCACCGAAGGACCTTAGCTTACTAATGAAAGCAATCTTAGGAAGAATCATTTTCTAAACCCGCAACATCTAGAAAATGTGACTTTTCCTATCACAACCAGCAGTCATGGTTTTAAAGAGTAGCTATTACTCATTCTTCTAACTATGAGGTAGGTGCTGGCTCTGGGCTTATCAGCAAAAAAATGGAGGGGTTTGCTCCCTAAGCGATGGTGAGTTATACTCCTTCTGTAAGCAAACGGCAGCAAAGAGCATGGTGTGGGGTGTTCAAACCAGGAGACTCAGAGGAGAGGTGCTCTTGGAGTTTGGAGTAGGGTGAGAGCTCAAGCCAGGCTTTGAGGAGGGGAGGATTGGGCCACGGTCGGGGCTGGGAACGGGAGCCAGGCTCAATCCCCATAGCTCCATCCTGCTTTAGTTTCGCTTTTCCTGAAAAGAAAGGACAATTCCTCTGAGTTACCCTGAACCTGGTTTCAACTAAGACTCTAATACACAGTTAAGGAATGTGAGATCTGATTGCAGGCCTATTAAGATTTCTTTCACTCTTGTTTTATTCTGACACACAAAGCAGCAATAACGTTAAGTCGGGTTTAATTATTTTTAGGTGAGGCTTTGTTTTTCAGTGTATAGGAAGAAGGGGCCCCCATGGAAGTTTGAGAACTTCCTAATGGTTTGCACATAGCTTCAGGCCACGCACTACACGGGTGGCCTGACAGGACTTAGATGTGTGTAACGTGTGGGTGCCTGTCCGGTGTGGTGACCACTGGGGATGACTGTGTAAATCCATTGGTGCCAGTCATGATGTCAAGTCATGAATTAGGTCTGGTCTCCACAGCCTGCTGTGAAGATACGGTTCAAGGGTGATTGATTTGGCCTTTTCTATGCCTACTGACTACTTGCCGTTGGTTCATGTACCCTGATCGTTCTCCAAGGGATCTGGAAAGAAGAAAAGCAAATGACAATGCCTGAACAACAGCAGGAAGGAGAGGAAGAGTGGAGGGTGTTTGGGAGATGATGAGCAAAATTCCTGCACCTGTGAGATCTGATGATTTGTAGAGAGAAGATGGAAATACAGTCAACCCTAGGCCCACACGGGTTCGAACTGGCCCCTTACATGCGGGTTATTTTCGAAATAGTACAAGACTGTAAACATATCTCCTTTGCTTCACGGTTTTCTTAATGACATTTTCTTTCCTCTATCTCACTTTATTGTAAGAATACAGTATATAAAACATGGAATCTACAAAATATGTTAATCGACTATGTTCTCAGTAAGGCTTCTGTTCAACAGTAGACTATTGGTAAAGCTTTGGGGGGAGTCAAAAGTTATATGGGTATTTTTGACCATGCGGGGGCTTGGTTTCCCATCTGCCGCGTTGTTCAAGGGTATACCGTGCTGTTAACCCGCTTCCTTGGGCCGGGCACCCTGCTAGTCTCTACAGGTTATGGGCTTAGTCAAAGTCAGGGCTTAGGGAGAGGAGCGACTTCAGGAACTGCCTTTTCAGGCTTCTCCCTCACCCACAGAAATCTAGGGATGGGAGAGCCACTGAGTGATGGGCTTGTTTTTGCTTTTGTTTTTGTTTTTGTAGTTAAAGGAAATAAAATTCTCAGGCATTTTTAGATTCTGTGTACAATCCCCATTGTGAAATCACCGCTTCCGACTGGATCCCATAAAATTTGTCTTGAGTAATTTCATCCATGATTTTTTCCTCTTTAAAAATATTAATCTCCACCTCGTCGCCCCCATCCCCCACCCTTTGGCATTTCCCGCCAGGCCTGGGAAGCTAGCTCCTGGAGGGCTCTGCCTCTCTCAGCTGCCGTAAAGGAAACAGAGGGTGAACTCCTAGAGAATCTCCCTTGGCCAGCCTCCCTCGCTGCCCTGGGGGAAATGCAGAATGGAAAAATCCTTAAAAAGCAACTGGAGACATTTTTCAAATGAGTTTTAATAAGCTGTGTGAGTGTGGGGTGAGAACTGCGGAGAAGGAGTGTTGACAATGGTAGGGGAAAAATTACAGTTGCAAGGAACCTTGATGTTTATTTTGATCATTGACTCTGTAGGACAGCAAGCACAAAAGCAGAAAACAAAGTAAAAAATTTGGCCATTGGTAGATTTTTTTTTTTTTTTGAAAGAGATGACTCTGTCAGATTAAGTCGAAAAAGAGCCAAGAAACCATTAGATGAAGTATGTCTCCTACTAGATAGAGCCTGCAGTCTGAAGCGGCCGGATATGGAGGGGGCTGGAGGGGTTTTGATTGGATGTGGTGACTCACAAAAGGAGATTGATACGTTTAGCACCATGAGTTGGTCTGTGGGTCAGGCTGCCACCTGGAAATCAAGATGCTATCAAATCAAACTAGTTGGTGGGGGGAGGGTAAATGCTATGCTCTTGAGGAGGGATGGTCTGAGGCCTGTGGCGGGCTGGTGAGGATTGAGAGAGAGGGAGAGATGGCGAGAGAGGGAGAGAGAAATAGAACGCGTGTGTGTGTGTGTGTGTGTGTGTGGATGTGTGTGTGTGTGGACCAGCCAGGCATGCCCCAGCCAGTTAGAGGAGATAAGAGTTTCCATAATCAAGCAAGGCTTCATGGAGCAAAAGGATCTGACTCAGGTCTTGAACCATACCAGGATGCCTTCTGCCTGATGAAACAAAAGGTAATAGAGTTAATTAACGCTCACATGCCCCCAAGACAGAGAGGTATGCATGTTGGCTCTTAATCTATGATG